GAGATTTAGACATTTTCCTTTGCTTTTCCTAAAGCACAAGTATAAAGTTCCTTAGAATTCAAGTCTTCTGTCTTAAAATACACACAATTTGACATTCGCCTGGCACTTTTATCCCCCCCAAAAGGGAAATGGACGTCACGAGGGGAGAGTGCAAGCCAGAAAAAAAGGGAACTGCGTTAATGCAATTTTAGCATCTGAAACCGTGCTGTGGAAAAACTAAACGGGCACGTTCCAATTGGTGTCCGCGGTCGTTGTCAGCATTCAGTGTCTGCATCTGCATCTGAATCTCCATCTGCATCTGAGCCTCGAGTGGAAAATGGACCGTTGGACGCTAGACATGGGAGCCCGGGGTCCACTGGAATCGTTCCAAATTGCCGGCGCATGACTCCAACTATTGCAGAATATAAAAGAAAAGGCGAAACGAAGGAGGAGTATCTGGTGAAGAAATGCTGTAAAATGGAATTGCATTACACACACTTTAGGTGCCATTTGTATCTTGGGGGGGCGGGAAAATGGGAGGGAAAAAGGGTGTCTGCCGAAGCCATGAAGTTGATGATGCGCCAACAAATTGGATGCGTAATGGTTCAGCGAGAGCCGAGCCACAATTGAGATATTTATTGTTATGGCCAATAGGGACATGGCGAAACCCCTAGCTGGAATTTCACTCTCAACCTAATGGGCGAAAGTTGGCTTTGGCTTGCTCAATATTTCTCAAAGGCATTAAGCTAAGCTGCCAAGTGTTTATTGGGTTTCCAGCTAACATCATTTAAGGCCCTAATAAGCCGTTACCTAAGACCATCAACAGAATCGGTTAACAATTTACTGGGAAGATTTAATTACTTGCTATGGAAATATCCAGGGAAACGGCCAGGAATTTATCGCAACCCAGTTAAGCCAGAAATATTTTCACTGGCATTTCCAACTGGCTTTGCCCCAGTTTCGCCAGCTTTATTAAATTAAATTCCAATAAAATCGTGTTCGGTTCACACGATGCTTTTCACCCCTTCAAGGTTTCTGTGTCCTCTAATGCTGGTATTTATTTTTTTTATTTTTTGTTATTGCCTCTAATCCGTTAAATGCTTTTTAATTGCATCTGCAACCTTATCCCAGGGACACTTGAAAATTCTGCAGGAAAGGGAAGTGGGCGGGATGGAGGCTAAAAAATATAGTGGGAAAGAGGGCGGCGAGAAGAGGGGGTGGGGAAGGCGTTAGCAACCCTTGGCTAATTGGTTGGGCGTGAAATGTGTGAGTTTAAATTAAAGAGCTCGGAAAACTGTCAACCCCTAAAAAAAAGGACCCTTACAATTGAAACACTGTGGGAGACGAAGTTGATAAAGAATGGAGATGCAATCGTCCAAATTAAACCACATTTTATCGGCTTAGATAAATATTGTCTAGAAAATCTGCTAAAGTAAATAAAAGCGAGCAAACCTCTTAATGAACTAGCCTACGATATATAGTATAATGCTTTTAGTAATGATATAATGTAACGGTTTATTTTTTCAATGCACTTTGTTATCTAATAGATTTTTTTAGTAAAATTTGGAATATAGCAATAATGTTGTTAACTCGTTTTATTTAAATATTTATAGTTCCAGCTTAAAAATGTAGCAACATAAACATCACTCAAATACCTTTCTTACTATTAATAAGGGTATATTTTATTTGCAGTACATTAACTTTAAGCCACTTTAAGCTTGAGTTCATTCAACCGCAAGCCGAGCTTACGTTTAAAAGCTGTTTCACCTGCCCGTCTAAGCTTTTAAGCCCTCGAGACACTCAAACTTTGCGGCTCAGCTTGGCGACGTCTCAAGAACCCACTCAAGAAATGCTCAGAAGACTTCAGCTAAAACACACACGCCAACATTTACTCGACCAATGTAACAACTTGTTAATCCAAGGGCCTTATACAAACATACAAAGCGTATATGCACATGCAATTTTAAATTAAAAACAAATTGCGAACACGAGACCAAATATGTTAGAGACATCATGACCCTAATGACCGTGGGAACTTTTTACAAACGTCACTGACATTGTCAGCTGAGTGCTCATACGTTCGTAAATGAGCATGTGTGTCTGTTCTTGTGTGCGTAAGCTCTTAAGTTTTTCTCAAGAGAGGCTTGAGTTCAAGCATTGCCAACATAGAAACATTTTTGAAACTTTATAACGGTTACTTTTCTTAAATATGATAAAGAAGATTATTGTAATTTGAGCCCTTGAAATCTTTTTCTAATCCATGGTTTCTGTTATGTATTTCAGGTTTTGGAGACACATTACTATAATTAAAGGGTAAGTGATTTGACATAAATCAGAAAAAGAGAGAGAGAAACAAGAGCAATAACTTAAAAAATGATATTTTACTAAACCTCACAAAAAAAAAACCCATACAAGGATCAACACGGAAATCAAACCGGTCCGCCTCGATATCGTTTAATCTGTCAATCCCTTCGATTTGTCGCCAAATTATTTTCATTATTGCCTAACAATTGGTTTGTTAATCTTGTTGTCTCGAAATTGAAATTCGAAACAATTGACCTAACAATTTGTAATAGTAATTGGCTTCTTAATAGCAATTACAGGCCGTATTGGGTTCAACTTGAGTGAATTGGATTGTATTGGTTGGGATTACTCATGCTAAACCATTAGTGTGTGTTTAAGCGTATTTGTTACCTTTTGTGAACCTTTCAGTGCCGCATTTTGCGCATTTTGATTGAAATTTTGATTGGGTTGCACATGTGGCTTTTATCTGCCCCTTCAACCCCATTGACTGACATTGATTTCTCAGCTTGTGGCCATTTCTCTATTTCCCCAAGCTCCCTCTTCCGCTTTGCCATTCCCATTGTCTGGCATTATCTTTTGTCTGCTCATTCCAGCGGTGCTGGAGTTATTTGTAAGCTGTGGGCGGCAGGAGGTGGGTGGGCGTGTCTGGTAACCACATTCAGCACTAGCTGTTTTTATTATGCTTTATCTTTCAGTGCTGGGTATTTGCTGGTATGGCTTTAACACCTTTAGCACACGGAGAAAGCTACAAATAATTTTAAATTCCAATTAGTGCTGGCACTTACTTTTTTCGAACTAACCAAAAAACTTAAAGGGTTAACTCATCGACAAGTATTTTCTTAGAACTCATTAATATTTGTTTATTGGCTGATATTTAAATGAATATATTTATTTAAATTATATTTAAATAATAATCAAGATATGCTGTAATATTTTTATTCTAAGCTGCAGGATTTTTATTTCCATTATTTTTGATCCAATCGATTGGAATTCATAGTGATCAGTTTTTCTCTGTGCATTTCCGATTGCACCAATTTGTTTTTTTCTGCATTTAAACCGCGATAATGTTGGCGTGATTGGGAGGCATGTGTAGGTAGCATTGGTTTGCTCCAAATAGTGTTGGTACCATTTTTTTACCACCTGATTTTATGTGCTACCTGGATTTAAGAACGCTGCATTGCAATTTTTCGCACGTTTCAGTGCTGAAAATGCTCTTTTTTCTATTTACTTCTCTCTCACGCACACTATGAAATTTATCTATCTTGAATTTATCTAATTTTCTCTTATACATTGGATTTTCTCTTAGGGAGCAAACAACGACCTTGCCTCTTGCTCTTTTTCTCCGGTTTCGCTCTCGCATTTCGATCGATCATTTTGCCATTGTTGTCACGGAATTTAGGTTGGGCAACTAATTCAAATCGATAAGTTCAATACATTGATTACCGAGCCTTGATTACAGTTCAGTTAATCAGTTTCTATTATATTCTTTGCCATTTGGCGTTTCATAACCAATTGGCCGTCATTTGCGTTAAAACAAACTTCGTGGTAACTCTCTTTGAAAACTCTCTTGAGTGTTAAATTCACTTCAACAGATATTCGCTCTCCATTCTCCATGTGAAAAAACTGGCAGCTGCAGAACCAACGAAACCGACAACTGGTTTTAAGTACCCTTCTACCGCTCCAATAGGGCATTTTTTTTATAAAGATTTTGTTAATATTTTTTTTTTTTTTTTTTGATCAAGAAAATGTTTAAATTTTTAAATAATAATAGACCTTCTTTATTTTGTTATTTCTGGGAAATTTTAAATTGCAATCAGCTTTCGGGCATATGTATGCCTATTTAAGTGCAATCACTTCTGCCCCTCTTTCCAGGAATAAATCGGTTTGACGAAGTTACAAAATAAATTTTGCCTAGCTTAGTAATTACTTTATGCACTGCCTTTTTGGGAAATTCCCCGACTTAAAGAACGAAAGTGAGGTCGTGTTTTCCCAGAATTTTCCCTCACTAAGCTACACCGCAAATCTTTTAAGCCGTGATCACCCAGTCGCGATCTTCAAATGCAGCGCATATGAAATTTTACCTAGCCTAGATAAACCCTCTTCGTTCACTCAACTCTCGCTGTCTCCCTTCCACCTAAAAAACCTACAAGCTGCAGTAACGCGTCGCAGTTTTATCATTATCACAACAAATACATTTACAGAAGAGCGAAGGTGAGATGGAAGAAGCAGAACGGTCGTCGTTGTTGGTAATAAAAAAACAATGGAACTGAGCAAATCCATGAATGTACTCTCACACTGAAAAAAAAATTCAAAAATATATTTGGACCACCTTATGATAAAACATCCGAAAATTATTAATCGGTCTCCAATATTTTTTAGACTGCTTATCTAAGGTGGTTAAAGTTGGAAGCCTAAGTTCTTTCTTTAAAAACTGTTTACTAAAAAAAAATATTTCATGTTTTAATCTAGTAACCCCAGGAAACTCTTATCGGCTGTTGATTAGGAAATAAACAAAACTGTAGTCTACGTATGTACATATACTTAATTTTTCATTAGGTGTTGTTTTCAGGTAATAAATATTTAATTCAACCTTTAAAGATTTCTTCTCTGTGCATACACACACACAATCAAACTACCCTGTAACAGCTGTCGCTCTCTTCCGCTCTTTGCACGCTCACTCTTGACTCGAAAACCATTGAGCTGGTGAGCCCAGTACAGTAGAGCAATTTGAGCCGCCGAATCGAGCAAACCGCCAACCGCTTTACCGCTTGCCGGACGAACGCGTTCCGTCTTCCCTCCGCTTCCATTCGATTTTGGCCCACTGTCGTCGTCGGTTGTCCAAATGTCCGCGTGAAGTTATAAAAACCTTTTCCACAACCGGGGGGTTTTATTTTATAGTAAAGTTAACTTAAATAGTCCTTTCGGCCGATCCATCCATACATCCATCCATTTACCGGGGTCTTTTTGGGGATCGTTTCTGTGTTTATCGTATCGGTGTCGCGTTGTCGGATTCTACGCGATTTTACCCCACATTTCGAGTGCCGTGTGCTGAGTGAGGTGTTCTTGGAATTACAAAATAGTCAAAACCGAAAACCGAAACGTTGGCAAAAATTCACTGAATGAGCAAGAAAGTTATATAAGGCCCGAACCGGATTTATAAATATTAATTATACATACAACTGTGACCAAAACAAAAACAGACTGACAACAAAACTCGGCGCTGGGATATACCGAAAAAGCCACTCAAATACAATCCGATCCCGATCATATAAATGGTAAATGCTTAAACACAGAAACCAGTAACAACAGCCAAAGTTGAGCTTGATTTAAGCTTTGAATCGCAAGCCAAGTCAAAACGAGTTTTTTGTTGTGCAAAATTCGATTTGCATATAATTCTTCCACGGCTTTGTTGTTGTTGTTGCTGCTTTGACATTTGTGAAAACATTAAATATGTAAAATTTTGTAAAACTTTCAGTTATTGACGTCTTCAATATGCATTGTGATAAACAAAGTTTTAATTTGAACAGCTGTTTTAACTGACATAGATAACTCAAATACCAAATACTATTGCACAGTTTCGTTGTTTCGTTTGTAATCAGTAAACTTATGGGAAAACCTTTTGCAGCATTTAAAATAAATAATTTGGGAATATTTCCATTAACGTTATAGAGATACCAGCCATTTAGAAACAATTACTCACCTTAAAACTCAATAAATCTTAGCAGTTTGCACTTGAACATGGTAATTCCGAATGGGCTAACAAAGGAAATAAATAGACACAACTCGCAATTAGCTGCTTTTAGCCAGATACATCACATGAACGTATAATATATATAAAGTTACGATTGACTGGACTCGTCCCCAGTCTCTCACGTCTGAGATGATGAATCATTTGGCATGACTAGAACCGTATAAACATTCAAAACTTATTTAACTTACCATATCAAATCATTGACTGTATTGGCAACGTGCTCTTGGAGTTTTCAAAATGAATTAAACAGGCTCTCGGAAGATATATTCCTACCCACAAACGTTTTCCCAGCTCTTTTGTCAACTTAATTTATTTTAATGTATACTGTGTGCCAAATTATTCGACTGTCAACTGCATAAATTACAGCAATAAAAAAAACGAAAACAAAGAAAAGTGAAAAAAACGAATGGAAAATGGGGAAAATTTCCCATTGAAATGAGTAATGAATTGGTTTTTGGGCGGGTGAGAACGAAACCAACTGAGAGTGGGTGAAAATATATTATGATTACAATGTAATTAAAGGCCAACTTTGCTTCGGCGAAAGCCAGAAGAGAGTTTTTTCCAGTGCCGCAAACTATGGGATACTTTTGCCATGCATAATTATGCTGTTGAAGTTGATTTACTCGGAATGTTCTTCAAGATCTTGAGGTTTCCGTCTACCAAAAGGGCTCCCTGATTTATGCTGCATTTTTGCTGCTACCTCAGCTTCAGCTTCATCCTCGGCCAGCAAAGATTATACTATAAATCTCAGCAGTTCATAAAAACTTCAGGCAAAAGCTCCAGCAAAAAACCATTCAGAAAACATTCCAAGAAAAGCCAGAAACACGACCAACAACAACAACAACAACGAAAAACTGGTAACAAGCCAAGGCAAAAAGTAAGAACATAATGCTACCTGGGTGCAGTTGGACTTGAGTTTAAAGCCAACTTCTTTGGGACGGAGGAGCCGTGTCGAACGGAACCGGTTTGGTGGCTGCCAGCCAGCCAGCCAACGAGTCCAACTTTTCTCACATGCCTTTCGATTATGCCAAGCCGACGACTGCATTCTTCGAGACGCGGCTTTCGCTAAACGTTTGGCTAAGACCCACAGCTCCATGCTCCATGCTGCCCAGCTTCAAGATACGAGAGCTCCAAACTCCAAGAGAGACCTCAACTTCAACTTCAACTTCAACTTGATCGCTGCTGCTTGGCTGCTGCTGCGGCTGCATAAAACTTTAATTTCATGGAATTTCCTTTCTATTTTTATGCAGCAACGCAGATGATTAACAACAGCAGCCAGCGGCCAACAAAAGGAGTAAGAAAGAGAGAGAGAGAAGCTTTAGACAAGTCAAGAACAAGGGAACAAGTCCAAGACCAAGACCAAAACACCAAAACCAATTCCAAGTCCAAGTTGTGGTTGCCAGCCACTTGCGACTTGTAGGCCATTAACTTGGGCTCTGGACTCGGGATATCTTCTATGTATCCACCATTGGAGACCAAGGCATTCTGCATCTAAGGCAGGAAATTAAAAATGCAAAAAATTGGATAATTATGCATGTAAACGTTTTGTCATTAAGTTGATACTTAAATGCGGCTGCGATTACCGGGCACATTTTTATAGAAAACTTAGCAATTGATGCACCTGCAAGATTTCCCTGCCTCTTTTATTTCTTTCTTCTAATGATTGTTGGCCACAAACAACAATTATGAACTTCGATAGGCCTTAGAGAGTTTGTAACTTTTTATTTATTCTTGACATTTTGTTGTGCCCTGCCAATAGCTAACTAGCCGTGAACTTGTACGAAAAACATTCCGCATTAATGCCAAAAAGTTTTCTCGCCTCTTGAGTGGCCAACTAAGTCGACACGCTAAGTTTTGTTGGTAATAGCTTGGCTTTTGGCATCGGTAAGTTGGCTAAAACCGCACAGCCTTCATAATGTCAAAGGGCATACCTGAGTGTGATTACGAGAATTCCTGTTCCTCCTTTCTGCTTCCCCCTTGCCTTCAAAATGAAAAGTTCAATTTCCGATCTGCCAGTTGGTTAAGCTCTGTAAAGGGATTAAACTTATCGGAGGATAAATTGTCAGTTGCAGAATGAAAATAAATTAAGCAACTTTACCTCATTCTATGATAAAGGTAGTCAACGCAGTTCTTTTTTATACCCTTGCATAACAAAAGGGTATTCAAATTTCAATCAGAAGTTTGCAACGCAGTGAGGGAGACACCTGAGACCCCATAAAGTATATATATTCTTGAACGACATTTGAATTTATTTAGCACAGTTTCATTGTTTGACGAAGATTTTTAAATTTTACATTTCACATTTTATCTTAATTTTTACTATTAGCCAGGATTTTCACAAGGAAATCAAGAAGCAAAATAAAAAAAAATATAGCAATCATTACTGCTCACTTTGACAAATAAATAAGTGTGTATCCCAACAACTTTCAGTGTACATCATTCCCCTGTACAAATCCACACATTCGTTTTCCTTGTTGGAGGGTTCGTCCTTCTCCCATCTAAAGAATGGTGGACTCTCGCCGGTGCGAGTGGAAAGATAAACTGCTTTTTTGGCCAAGCAGGTGATGTCCAACCAAAATGCACCTACAGGGGTATCGCGGTTGACCTTTTGTAGTTCCTCCAGGTCGTTGTATAAAGCCAGGTGACCACCGATTTGGCGACATTTGTTATATGCTTGAAACCAATTTAATCTTTCTTGCCTTTCAATGTAGAAGTACCTCGAGCCATACTTCTTGAAAACCTGGTTTATAGCTCTGTGCCCAATTTCTGTTTTGCGAGACTTCACAATGTCCTGAAGCGACTTGTGTTGGGTATCCGTTTTTTTCTCTAGCGCCTTTAGTAGGCCTACTAGTTCTTTTTTCAAACTGTCTATTTTTGCGTTAGCTTCAGCTTGAAGCTGCGCTGTGTATGTGAACCACTGGTGTTGGTGCGAGGCAATATGATCCAGTATGCTCGCTGTTATTGGCTGCTGGTATTGAGCTTGGGTTCCCCACAGTCCGCAAACAGTGAAGAGCCATGCAAAATAGGAGAACCTCGACATATTGAGTGCGTAAATCCTGTAAGACCCAATCTTCGTAACTAACCGCTTTTCGGTTGGTTCAGCTCTTAAATACGCGATAAACCGCAACGGATCGAGTTTGCAAGTAAATCCTGAAATAATGCATGACCAAATCAATATTAACGTTTTATATAAGCATTCAAAGAAGGGTAATTCTTTATCTTTAGCTATTTATATCCAAACATTTCTAATACCAACTTTTTAAAACAGAAGAAAATCATATTATTATTATATTTTTATTAGTCGGAGAAAACTTTATTTAAACTTTAGGTGAAATAAGTGAAGAATAAATACAACAAGTTTTTGTTTAAGTTGAATAGCTATTTAAATTACCAATTTAAATTTTGACTTATTAATTAAAATGCCAACATCTAGTTAGCTATTTTGTAATGTAACCAATTAGGCCCTTTTATAAATATAATTACTTTAGCTTTGATATACTATTCTATCACCACCATCGCATTACTTAAATAGAACATTTATTTACCTGCGCCAAATTCTTTGATGTCCCCAAATACATTCGCACACCTGTTCAGCTGGCTTAATGGGGAAATAGGGTAACACTCATCCCAAAGTTACTTGGCCCGCACAACACTGGAATGGCTTCTTTTGGCGACTATATATGGGTTGTTTGTTTAGTTTCCTATCGATTATTTTCATTGGATGTGTTTGCACTGCCTACTTTTGGGCGCTGGCACCCGGAAATTGCTAAAGCAATTGGCCAACAGCTGTTCGGATGTCTATTTACCTGGAATCAACAGAAAAGCGTTGACAAATGGAATAGAGAAAACTAACATGGTTACAGTTTTTTGCGCCATAAAATTGATTTGCCTCCGCTTCGAACCACAAAATAAAAAACCCACGACAATCAGAGCAGAGAATAACACTAGAAAAGTGGCAAGAGAGACATCAGTTTGGAAAATCGTTGGGCTTGGTTGACTTTTCATGTGTGGACCACGTTTTCTACTCGGCGACCTTTACTGCCATAAATCGGTTGGATAATCATCTAAACTTAGCGGTTATCTAAACATAGTTGCTGTTGATGTCACGTAGCTTTCCACGAAACTATTAGGTAAACAAATTCTCCTCTTTGTGGCTTATCGCCAAGTCACAGTTTGAAAAATCCCTTTCCCATTTTAAATCTGTCAGATAAAAGAGCTCTTAAACTAGAGTTTCGTTTGCTTCTGTCTCGGCAGGAAAAATATTACATGTTGTGTACTTTGATTACACGAGGTTTTTTTTTCTGGATATCAGTAAGATGATTGCTTTAAATACTGCTTCACAAGGCTTCAGAATCTTGTTATGTAATCTAATATTTTTCTACCACCTCTAAACGTTTGTATCCAGTTTCAAGTGTCTACATTATGAATTCAATATGAGTATTGAATGCATTTAAAAGAACTGTAAAGTTAAAGTTGCCTAAGGAATTTGTTTTCAACGCATTGTAAATTCCTCTGCATATCAAATTAGTTCTTAGAATTCCCCAGTGATTTTTCCTCTCTTGTTTTTCCTCGATTTATGAGTTATGAATGCGTAATGCTAAATGTGCTTTGGATACATTATTGGTTGTTGGAAATTTCTTTATGTTTTCCATTTTTTCCTTTATTCAATTGCACATTTTAATGGCCTTAACGTGCCTTCTTGTCTGAGAAACAGGTTTGTCTCTCCGAAAATTTCGGATAACTTTTGTTAAGTATGCCAATGTTGAGTCATCGTAAAATTTATTTGCATAATGAGTGTAAACAAAACTCGTAAGATACGTTCGCAGAAAACAATATCTTACGGATGCGAAAGTAGCTCAGATCGAATGTGATTAGGTTCCCATCTGCCGGCAGGCAAACCAAACAAAGGATAACAAGGATCTTGCCATCGTCCTGTTGAGACACGAACCAAAAAGGATCTGTCTACCTGAAAATCGTGGCAAATCGAAGTCAGAAGGCGGCATGTGTGAGATCGTTTCCCCACTTAACTAGGCAAAACTCGAGAGAATCCTTCGAGAATCCTTCGCCACGTGCACTGAACATATGTCAGGATAATGGCGAAAGGCAAAGCAGAAATAAAGTCGAACAACAACTGCTGGCAGCGGCTGCATTCGTTTCCAAAACGACAGATGCAAACAATTTTGTTGTTTTTCGAACTGCTGGAAAGGTTTTCACCGCCGTTTCCATGTCTCGTGTTCGTTTGCCAGGACAGAACATTTCTTATAAGGTATATGGTATAGGGTATATGAGGTATATACCCTATATATATAATCATATGTATATGTTTTGCAGGCATGCCTATTGTTTTTATTTATTTTTTTTCTGTGCCTGCATTTTTACTTCCGTTCGTTGGGTTTTTGAGGTTTCTCTCAAGTGTTTTCTGCTGGAAATACTCGTATTGGAGTTTGTTTTGTCAAAGGATGTGGTGGGACATTCAGGAGTGTGTGTGTAATGGGGATACTTTACATATCGATTGCTTTGTTATTTTACTCTGCCAGAGCGATTGAAATATTAAACGGGTTTTGTGTATGTTTTATATAAAAACTAGAACCACAGAAGTGTTGCATAGCTACCTATGTAAATGTATATTGTTGAAATAAGAATGGTGTTCAAGCTACTTACTTTATAAATCATGGAAACCATCTCTTAGATTTTCTTAATTTATATTAATGCGAACCCATCATCTAAAAGAAATATTTACATATCAGTTGATACATTTCCCTTCCAATTTTATTTTCCCAGCATCTCTGGTCATCTATTTTTTCTCACACCTAGCTTTTTCCCACATCCCCTAGGCAATACATTCCCATATAGAACCAGGTATTGCAGGCGCATAATGATCAGATCAACGCCCAATTGACAGCTAATAATTATGCGCACGTATAATGCATTCCCCGGATGACAAAACCCCTGTGCAATTAGGACTCTGCCTGCATAGGAATATGTATGTGAATAGGACATGGGTGCACAGGAATTCCCACCCCCAGGAACCTCGAACTTGGGCGATTTTAAGGGTGCATTTGGGTCAGCGTGTGAAATACCTAAGCATCCGTGCGTGAAGGTAACCCAAACCCAAACGAGCGATTCAGGATTCTCAAGATCGAAGGATTCTCCTCATGCAAAATCCCACGGAGTTAAAGAAACTCTCCTTTCTTAACAATTATTTTCTACCCCTTCCTAGCAGCTTCTATTCCTATTGTCATTGTTTTGGATTTACTATAAGAAGCAGTTGATGAGTTCCTACAGTTAAGTTGCGTCACCGAAAATAAAAAAAAATCGCATGCTTCCCTTAAAATTCCACAAGTTTCAGCCAGATGCTGTGAGATCTTTTGTTGCTGTCTCATTATTTACGATAAACCTTTTTTCGGCTTTTCGCTTGCGAATTCTTTGCGCACTTCCTCTAAAGTAACCAACCGAATAATGGAATGAGGGGAGCATAGCGGGAGTTTGCTGTTCACTCCGAAGATTTATTATCCAGCGAAGTTTTCGGTTTGCCCAGATGGTGGCCCGTCTTAATACCTCTGCACTTTTCTCCTCAGTTGGCTGTCCGCAGGCTTCAGAAACTGTTTAGAAAAGCTCACTGAAATTAACTCGTGTGGCTCTAGTGGGAGTTAGTTTCAATTTTATGGGTCTCCATGCGACAAATTTTATTGCCAAACAAAGTTCAGTGTTTGACGTTCAAAGGTTTTGAGTAGATTAGCAAACGTAAGAAATATAAATATGTAAAGATGGATAAAGCAGTTAGTTATTGAAAGTCTTTTAAAACTTTAACACAGATCTCCAATATAAAAAGTATAAGTCCTAAACCTTTATAGGTCAATTCACAAAACATAAACACTCCCAAAATCCTTTCGAAAATCTCCCTGAACAAAAACGATACCCAATTTCCGCTTACGAAATCCTTGAGGTCATGCTTCATTGCACCTTATTATACTGCCTAATTGAAGTCATTATCGTTGAGCTCCCACTAGCCATAAAAAATGTAAAATACACAAACACAGGCACACAACGCTTAATTGCTTCACTAAATATTCACACAAAGCGTTGGCTGATATATTTCAAATTTATTTTACACGTAAGAAAAAAAACGAAAAAAAAACGAAAAGTTCCCACGACCACCGACACAAGGAAGAGCATTAAAAATTATAAATTCCTGCAGTGGAGGGCAACCCTCGCAGGATGACGAGGATGCGGAGAGAGGATCGAGGGGCGAAGGAACTCGATGGTGGTTGATAAGGCCCCTAGCCCAGCCAAAAAAAAATAACATAAAACGAAGGACAGCAGACAGACAGGAGCGTATGGCGGGAATAATTATAATTTTATATCAAGTACTAGCAAAAAAAAAAACAAACAAAAAGAAAGAAGGAAGCCATAAAATGGGTATCCTTTTCTGACCATCACTGCAGCGTGTGAAACTTTACGAATGCATTTTGTAATGTTAGTTTTGACATTGGCAGGGAAACCAATGAATACTTAAAAGTGAGAATAATTAATGGGAAAAAAGTTGAGAATTTTACATTGATATAATTATTTAAGGCAGTGGGAGGTGTTTTTTATTCAAAATAAGAGATAGTAAACACGGAAACATTTACATACATTTATGCTTTCGAAAAAGTGGAGATAGAAAAAATCTGTTTAATAAAAAGTTTCAAAAGATCTTATCGATATGAACATTTTTTTAGGTTTTCCACAGAAAAGCTTGCAGCGAATGAAAAATGCAATTACTTTTTTAAGGCTCAACCATCGCCGTGATTTCCATTTAATCTCCCTGCATAACGACCCCCCTATCACTATATCCAACATCTGTCTGCCAGTCGCCATATCCTGAATGCAAAATCCATAAAACTGATGGAAAGGCAAGTTTAGCCTACATTTTGGCATAGAAATATGGAAGCTTCGATGATGGCAAGTGGGGTTGGGAGGCTGTTGTTTCGTCGGATAAAAGGATTGAAGCTTTCGCAATGGGATTTCCGAGGTGTCACACACACTGAAAAGGCTAGACTGTTGCAAAAAAAAAAAAAGTCATCGGCCCATTCTGGCCAGAATGCAACAAGTGTCGATGGCCTTTTGAGGGCACAGTAAAAATTAATTACACTGACTCTGCTCCTCCTACTCAGCATCAACATCGAGGCTTGATTGTGGTTATGCAATATAAATTACTTTTTGCCCGCCTATACTGATGTACGATACGATGTATGAAAGTGTCATTGACTGCGCTTGTTTTGTCATCCCAGGGTTAATTGTTTAATGCTAAATTAAATACAAACTGGAAAAAATCGCCATGTTCTAGCACGGCATTTCATCACCAAGTCTAAATGGATGGAGGATGGTTGGAGAGCCATGTGGCATATGATTTATAGTGCTGTCTGCCGTAGAGTTTAATTAATTAATTACGTTGGGTGTTGGACCCAAAGCCACAAGAATGGTCAAAGGTCAACGAAGTGCCAGACGAAATTTAATTTGACGCTGGAATAATTATTCAACAACTATCCGATGTCGGTTACTATTCAAAGGAGTAATCTTCCATCGAATTGATTTTGGTCGGAATTGCTTACGCACAATCCCGTGTTGTTTGTTTGTTTTACCCATGGAAAATACCCCAAGTTAGCTCTCCATATTAATTACCATATCACAAAGAGAAAATAAATATGTTCGTATCTGGCAAACATTGATAAAGAAAAAATATATCTACCGCCCTACCTCCCCCATATTTTATATTATTTTTTCATTTTTATCAAAGCAAACTGCAGTCGAATCTGATTCTCTGGCAAACACGTACACAGATTTTAACGTCTGGAACCTGTTTCGTGGCTCGATTATTGGTTGAATGAACCCTTCCGGATGGTGACCCACACCCCGATCTCCGGAACCCTTCCTCTTCTTCTTCTTCTACTTCTTCGATTTGCTATATAGCCGATAGCCGAATGTTGTCATTTCTGAACTCATGTTAACTTTTAGTGCGTGATTTGGTTTTTATTCTGTTGATTTTTGCTCTTTTTGTCTATGACATGCGTAAGCCATGAATCACGAATATAAAACTTTTGAACAGGTTTTAGATCTTTTTTTATGGGAATTAAAGTGGCTGGTTAAAGAATGTTAAGAGGCTGGTAGAATTTATTCGCTATTTATTTACCCTTATTTTCTATTTTATTTTTTATTGCCAATTCAGCTTGAAATTGCATAAAAATATTTTCATAAAATGGCCTTCACTCCGGCAGCCAAGATGTCGCCAAGCGTTCAGAATTTATTCAGTTTTTTTATTGTTATTGGCTGCCCTTTCGGTAAAGGCGAGTACTCTAAAAACTTTTAAGCCAAATGCCAAGAGCCTTTGTAAATCATTTCTACCCACCAGAATCATATTTTCTAATAAACCCCTGACCCACTTAAATGTTTAGATGCTTTTCTGTGTTCGTGTTCACAATTCGATTAGCCGGGATGGGAAAAATGCAGTCAAGCAGCATCCCACTGAATGGAGTCAACGCCCTTCTTCGAATGCCTTCTAATGAAGCTAGAAAACCGAAAAAGCCAAATCACAAACCAAAAGGCAAAACAACAAATTGTGGGATCGCCCTTGTGTGCTTTTTGGTCACCGAGAGTTGCCAAGAACCAAACTTCTGGCCTTCGGTGGTAAATCAAATGTTCAAACTGGTTTTCTCGTAACATTTACAGTTAACAACGGCTTAAGTGGCCAAGAAGAAAGCCAAGTTAATTCCCCGAGTCACCGAGTTGCAACGGAATTTCGAATTGAACTTTAATTTTTGTGTTCAACTTTTATCACTCGACAACCACCGACAGCCGACAACTGACAACACAAATAAGTTGGACAAATAAGCCCAATTAGCTTGAGTCGCTTGGCAGTGTGTTCGAGTTGGTCAATTAACATGACCGGGCTAATGGTCGAAGAACGTGAGTTAACTGGTTGAAAGCCTGCTGGAAAAGCTGTAGGAAAATTCAGTGGTGGGAAGGCTGAAACTTAAGCCATTTTTTATGGCGACTAAGGCTTTTAGGTTCTCAGAGAATTAGACATGCAAACAATCAGCGGACAGCATACAGATTACCCCTTATTTATTTCACATACATATTAGATAACATTTAAAAAAAAATAAAAAAGCAGAGTTATTTAACCGGGCTTATCTTTTGGTCACTTGAGTACATTTATAAAAAATAAAATACAACTTTTAGACACCCAAAAATATAATTTCGGCCAATCTACAGTCGCTCAAATCAGACAGTTTATTTTTTTGTGAAAACCAAAGGGAGATATACAAAGTTTTGTTATGATTTTGCGATAATTGCGGACGCTTAGTTTATCAACAGTTTACCGCAATACGAGGCATGTGATAAAGTCACAAAAATGTCAACTCAAGTCGCCGCAGCGCTGGGAAAACAAAAGCCTCCTCAAGTGAAGTCAAAGCAAATAAATGCTAAAAAAAATAAAATATTAAATATGTGTGTAAACAATTACGTGAGACACCCGACTGGCCACGCCCACTCGCGAAAGGCGCGATAAGCGATTGGAGGCCGTTGGCATTAATTGCTCCTCTTGACTTCAGTTCTAGTTTGGGCCAAACCGCGGAGGTTGGTATTTCTCGTCGTAGAAAAAAATAAAAACCGGAAAAGCTTTTAATGGATCAGAGAACGTAGGGGGACAATTACCATACACTTTCGATGATCACAATCGAGGGGGCGTTGAATCAATTTCGAGGCAGATAAACCAAAGTGCTTTCATATGTATGTCAAATGGCGATAAAGAATTGAGCGTGTGACTCATGCATATTGGAGACGTCAGCACTGATAACGGTACTTTGTACCCCCCGCCCGGAATAAAAACTATAACCACAACAACACAATCTCTCTCAAACATTTTCCAGATCGCCCATCAATTTAATTTAATCAAAGCCCGTAACTCAAATTCAATGAACAAATAAATTTGCGCAGTCCAACGAGCCAATAAACGGATCAATAAATTGAAATAAGAATCCGCAGGGGTAACTGCCGACTGCTGCCATCTGGCAACGCTGTTCGTGGGGCAGCTTGTAACGGTTATTCACGACAATTTACTCACGTTATTCGAATTCGAGTGTAGAGTAAAACCATGGGAAACTCATCGTCACACACGCACGAACCACTCGAGCGCGGCTTCACACGCGGAAAATTCGGTGACGTTAAAAATGGGGTAGGTTTCCATTCAAAAAACTTCATTTCAATACGATCTACAGTTCTGTAGAGGGTTGAACTGCTAAAAACAACTCGCACTTGTTTCGATCTCTCTTTCTCTCCTGTTTAATTATTTATCGCTTGTACAACGAATGCTGATGATAATGTATCCTTATCCCGTGTCCTGTAGAAATCCGCCTCCTTCCGGTTTAGCAAGAAATCGCCGAAGAAGATGGATCGTCTGCGTCGCTCCTTTCGCGATTCCTTCCGGCGTCGCAAGGATCGCGTTCCCGAGTCCTCGAAGCCGCATCAGTGGCAGGCGGACGAGGAGGCCGTGCGCTCGGCCACCTGCTCCTTCTCCGTCAAATATCTGGGATGCGTCGAGGTCTTCGAGTCGCGCGGCATGCAGGTCTGCGAGGAGGCCCTTAAAGTCTTGAGGGTAAGTATCTGCATTTACCTTATATGAAGGATATGAAGATATAACACTGAAAGGTGAAAAGAAACCCTGATTTGATCATTTAAATTTGACATCATTTTTTATATTATTAAATGTTAAACGGCACTTAAAAATGTGTCCATGTGTGTATTTCAATTTTTTTTATGAAAGTTAGATAACTATTTAAATAAAGCGGTCTTGAATCAATTAGGTTTAACCTACTTCTATTTAAATACAGATAAATTTACAGAGGTTTTAGTTTGTTTAATAAGTCAAGACGTAAGAACGCAAAGAAAGTTATCTGGTCTTTAAAACAATATTCTTTTACTGATAGTTGTCAGGCTGAACTAATTATGATTAATTGTTACACAACACAATTTACTGATCTTTAGTAATAACAACTAAAATCATTTTAATTAAAATAAAACTCATTTTTTATATGGATCACTTTTCCTCTATATCCTTCATTTTATACTTAATAAATTTAAATCAATTACTTATTAACTTTACCCTTTTCAGCAATCTCGACGTCGTCCTGTCCGGGGATTGCTTCACGTCAGTGGAGATGGCCTGCGCGTGGTAGACGACGAGACGAAGGGCCTGATTGTGGACCAGACCATCGAGAAGGTGAGCTTCTGTGCCCCGGATCGCAACCACGAGCGCGGCTTCAGCTACATCTGCCGGGACGGAACCACTCGGCGGTGGATGTGCCACGGCTTCCTGGCCTGCAAGGATTCCGGCGAGCGGTTGTCCCACGCGGTGGGCTGTGCCTTCGCCGTTTGCCTGGAGCGAAAGCAGCGACGCGACAAGGAGTGCGGTGTGACGATGACTTTTGACACCAAGAACTCGACCTTCACGCGCACCGGATCCTTCCGCCAGCAGACGCTAACGGAACGTCTGGCCATGTCCACGGTGGGCACAAACGAACGGAGTGTGGATGGACCGGGATCGGCGGGTATTCCGGGTCCACCGGCTGCCACCGTCAAGCCTTACAATCCGTTCGCCATCGAACGCCCGCATGCCACGCCCAATATGCTGGAGCGTCAGGGTTCCTTCCGCCTGAGCACCATTGGCAGCCAGTCGCCGTTCAAGCGCCAAATGTCGCTGCGCGTCAACGATCTTCCGTCCAACGCCGATCGTCAGAGGGCCTTCCTCGCCGCCGCCGCTGGAAATCCGCTGCAAACTCCTCTCCGCAGTGTTTCGCCCATTCCTGAGGTTTCGCCGGCCAAGTCCGCCACTGGTGGAGATCCCTCTACAGCCGCCACCGTGGCCGCCGATTCGGTGAGCCAGCTGTGCCAGGAGCTCAGCCAGGGTCTGTCGCTGCTCACCCAAACGGACGAGGACCTGAACTTCAACAACAATCGCAGCATCAATCAGAACATCATTGCCGCCGAGAAGCAGGTGCAGCACAGTGTTGCCTCCTACAGTGCCACGCCCACGGCACAGGTGACACCCCGGATGGCCAGTACCACGCCCACTTATCAGACGCTCCACTCGCAGCAGTCGCCCACGCGATCGGATCATCACCAGAGCTTGGAAACGTCGACGGAGCTGCCGAATGCCGAGCAGTGGTTGGGTCAAGTGGTGCGCAGTACCTCGCCGGCAGCACCAAAACGTCCGAGTTACCTGGCCAATGTGGGTCGGGCTCAGACGATGGCCAGTGGAGCGGGAACGGGAATGGGAGGAGGAGCTGGAGGTGGACCCGATGATCCGTTCGACGCCGAATGGGTGGCCAATGTGGCGGCGGCCAAGCAAATGTCGCCGGACTTGCCGATCTCGAGCAGCGGCGGCGGCAGCATTGCAAGATCGCCGCTGGCCAGGCACAGCACCAATCCGTTCATCTCACCGCCCAAGGCGCCGGCGCAGACATTCCAGGTGCAGCTCTAGGATTCACCAACGGGGGAACAAAGTGTGGTTCGCTTGAAAAAAACGTAACTTAGTTTAAAGTTCAGGGGCTGAACAATCGATTAATCGATGAATCGATACATCGATGAATGGATGGATGGATGGCTGAAGTTAAATAGAAAGGGAATGAATTAGAATGGAGGTGATCAGAGATACTTAACGCAAACATAACTAATGTTGAACTATGCATATAGAAAATCGAAATTACAGTTACTTACACACGCAAGTACAGTAAACACATCCATAAATGGCGCTTAGCACTAGGCCAAAACTTACAACTGCTGCACGTAAAAAGAAATCATAAGATCGCAAGAGATCTTATACCGAATATCAGTCTTCTTATAGCGGGTCTTTACTATGGAAATAATGTTTTACAAACTTGTTACTTTCATAAGACTTGGTTAGAATTGCAGAAATTGTTCCCGTTATTAAAGGAAGACCCTTAGAAGTGACTAGACTGATACAGGTTAAGATCCCTTAGTCACCAAACAATTGACCAAGCTACCAAGTTACCCACGAAAGTCCACCATTAAATGCAAATAACAAAACGAAAAACAAATGGCACCCTTTTGAACTTAAATGCAACATCTGTATTATACTTTGGTATGCCCTTCCACTACTTGTTGATCGATCCCGCTAAGAATAGTGATTAAATACAGATTTACCATATATATATTGATATGTTGATATGTAGGAAACTCTATCTTAGGGCCAATTATTATTTCGTCAGTGTCAGTGTACGGTACACCGTTTTTATATCAAATCTTTTATTATTTAATTTAATTTTTAAATGTGTACAAAATGTATTATACTTAAATTATAAATATAATTTAAAAATAAACAAAACAAAAAACATGAATCAACTTCAAGTTATTTAAACCTACAAATCAAGCAGCTAAATACAATGCAACTAATGAAAACCGATATAGAAATATTGAAATAAATAAATATATATATATAAATCTATTGCATATATTGTAAAAGATGGTAAAGAACGGTTCGGAAGAGATGATAAATACATACATTCGATTTGTGTGCTTATCTTATTGTTTGTTTTATTTTGTTTTAGCGGAATGTGGACGACATTCCAATGATGTTTTTAAAAATTTTATTATATATTTGAATCAATCGAAAGCCACCTATCCAATGCACCAAATGTTATATAATGTTAATAAGGCCTTTAATCAATCCGTAGATAGAATCAACCACATAAGTAAATAAAATCATTGTTCCTAAAATAAAATGCAGGAGTCAGTGAATCGCACTTGTCAGTATTTGAATAGCGCATATATACATATATCTCCCGATCGACTTTAGAAAAACTTGCTCCTTCAAACATCGCAATGGTTTTGTATATAAAACAGAAGTCGTTGAATGATTTATAGTTTCATTTGCCTTGCAAAATGTCACCTGGCTTCATTTGTACATGTTACTGCTTATAATATAGGGAACCAGAACTTTTCTATATATTTACACGGGCACTAATGTAACATAAGGACTTCTCTTATAAAAATACCAATTCGAAAGGATCTTCTGCAGCTTTGTTTTGTAACATATGTGTAACATATGGTTACCTGATTCGATTGAGACTTTTTTTCACAGATTGTACATTCCAGAACGAAACTTTTGCTATGTGTACTTAAAAAATAGTTAATAAATTCTCCTCAAAATTAAAAAAATTCTAATTGTTTGTTAAAAGAAGAATAAAAAGTGGTCCAAAAGTCAAAAGATTGCGCTTTGATAACTGCCGAAATATCGTTATTTTATATTAAAAACTTTTGAAGTTAATAAGTTTCTTCGCGAATCATTTTGTGGAAAAATGTGTCCATCGAAACTTTCTATAAACGCAAAAAGTTTGATGAGTACGAGAAAGACAAAATCTATATTTAAAGCTAGCTCATATACACGAAATATTCAAATTAAAAAGTTAATATACATATACGTATAACTTATCAGAATCAGAATTATATAGAAAATGCATATCGTTTCGTTTAACGTTTAGTAAAATTGACATGCACCACATATACCTAAAAGTAAAGACATATAATGAGATGCCACATATTATCTGAGATATTATGTTTATTTATTTTGTATGACAAAAATGTCGTTATCGGATATTAAATTATTGTGAAGTATTGATAATTAATTTGTGAGTTAAATAAACGATATGAAAATACAAATATCTAGTCTATGACCGATTTTGGTGAGGGGGGTATGGTCACACTTGCTTTTCTTACATTGCTGTTTACTCGTATGTCCCAAAATGTTGGCGCTGTTGCTGGTGAAATCCGTTACATTTTTATTGGCGCTAACGAAAACTACGTTATATTCAAACTACGTTTTATTAAAACTACGTTTTTTGGGAACTACGTTTTCTTTCTATGTTGACGGTTGTCTACGTTTTCAGTTATGTCGATGTTATATTTAACATCTGAAGCGATGTCAGTGTGTTCTATGTTAACTGTTACGTTTTGAATAATCTACGTTTCTGCTACGTCAAACGGTTTCTACATCTACTTCTGCGATATGTAATCTACACAGCCGCAGAACTTTTTATCCGGTTATGAAAAATGTGATCTATAAACTTTTCGCATTGTGCTATACTTAACCAAACGTAAGTTTGTATTTCGCATTGTTTTTCAGCTGCTTAAAGGCAGGTGTCGCCAAAAATGATTTCGAAAAATGGTTGAAAGGCAAACATTTTGCCGGAAAAATATTGAAAGCCAACCATTGTCAATTTGGTTTAAATGGGATTGTTAACCCTTGTTATTCTTTATCTAAAATATTTATAAAGATTGAATTAGTTAAGAAGAATCATAGCCATACAATTTTTCGTCGTAAAAAAGTCATAATCACGTTCGTAAATAATATAAAGATACATAATAAACAATTAAGGGGTCAAATACAAAAAGTTAATTAGCAAGTATTTTTTTTATCCAGGACAAACATCACTAAATTAGAGGCAAATACAGAATTTTTAATTAATGTTAAAGTTGTCAGCCATAATAAAAGTTTATGGCCAATATCATAATTCAATTTAAGACAAAAACAATAATTCTAAAAATTAGGTTTTTCTTCGTATTTATTTCAAAACTAAATTTCCTGTTCTTAATTATACCTACTGATAAAATGGCTTATCCTTTTCAGCTTTTATTTTTTCTCAAAACAATTCGTTGATAGCTCCACCAAATTAGATTCCATATAAAATTGTAAAAATTTCACTTTCCAACCAATTAATTAAAACGCTAATAAAAAGTGGTTGCTGCAGATCAAGACAGATGGTTGTAATTATATGGCAAATTAAACAAACATTAAAAGTCAGCATTAATTTCGCTCTGAAGGCCAACGATAAGCCAACAAATTAAGCAATCCAAACTATGAACTGATTGCAAACTTCGTCCTATTACTTTTGCCAAAATAGATGGCCAAGCCATTCAACATTTGCATTATAATCTTGGCCCGAGTCTCGCTGGCTTTCTTTATGCTCCATCGCCTTATTGCCATTTACCAGCTACAAATCGGCAGAGTGAGTGAGAGGGAGATAGATGGGATAGATAGATAGATAGATAGAGGGAGACGGAGAGACGGAGAGCAGGTCATCAAACATAATTACTTCGCAAGGGACAGTTGACATTTCAGTGGCGACCCGCGTTATTTTCACCTCCCCCCCGTCCCCTTTCCACTTTTCGACCTTTATTGGCCGAGTTGGTAGCTTAAAGGTGAGCAGCCATTCCCCCCCCCCCCCTTTCCTTTTCCCTCCCCCTTTTCCCCATCGTTTGTGGCCAGCTGCCTCGAGCCATTTTTGATAATGAAAATTTCGTTTGGCTGGCGCGACCGGTGCCCTTTTAAGTAGACTACACTTTTTAAACAAACTGCAAGGAAGGACGAAAATGGTATGTGGCTTCCAGCCATATGATCAAGAAAAACATTCCCACACAGAACAAAAAATGTGCGCAAACTTTCCACCTTTTCCGGGGCAAAAAACAAAAAAAAATGTCTTTAAGAGTCCTTCACGGCTGATTGAAAGGTGCTCAGCAAAAACTTTGGAAATAAAGAAAAAGGAAAGTCAATTGTAGGGAAAAAAAGTTATAAATCTGTTTGGTTAAAAGGTTTTTTTTGGCAGCTGCTCCAGCAAAGTCATCCTAACTAATAAAAACAAGCATTAAATTGTAAGATTTTGTACTTAGTCCTGAAGAAATATTTTGGATTTTTTCAAATTTTTAGAGGAAATTTAGCAGTGCTGTCTGAAAAACAGAAACTTGCACTTGCATCGCAATCAACTGTCAATGAACTCCGAGCAATTTTGTTAACAAGTTTCTGGTTTCCGCCCAAACGCTTCGCAACTGAACCTCCTCCGTATTTGTTCGCCTCGCTTTTTAGCTGCTTTATAGTCTGCAGTTGAAATTTATGTTTATTTTTTCGTGCCATGCAATTTGCTTTTTGATTATGTGGACGCGGTCAGTCGCCGTTTTTCTACTTTTGCCTTCTCCGCTTGTCTGCGGAACGGAGTAGCAGGATTTCACGGTATTCACTGTGTTCTCCTCCTTTATGCATTCGGAATGATGGATCTAACAAATAACTCATTTCTATGATAACTTGGCCAATTGCCCGGATCTGACCCGGCTGCCACAGCAACTTTCCGCGCGCTTTTCACCAATTGCTGCGATGGCTGCATTGTGCTTAAGTTACTTAGCTTTATGGCTCAAATGGAGATGAGTGCCCCACTCAAGATGAAAGTTTTAAAACGCTTGGGCCAGCTTCATTGCTCGCGTTTCGCTTATTGACACACATCTGCCGCAGAGCGTAAATATTCCAAGGAGGAGTTTGTGTGGAGAAGCTGAGCAGAAGTTATACTATATATAAAGTAAAGACAAACTGTGTTGAAATGCGCTTTTATCCGGACAAAGTTTAAGCTTGTTAAAATCTGTGAATAGAGCAGCAGCCAGAAACAACCAGATAATAATCATTCACAGACGTATTTGCGCCATGGATGCTAATCGGAGTTCTGGTCAATGATGTCAAAATTTAATTACAGTTTAAGCGCTTTCGAAATCATTTTGCGGCCACTCAAATTAAGCGCAGCAGGCCACAACACTCCGACGACGTCCCTACGCAGACAGACAATTATAATTAGCCAGGGAGGAGCATTGAGTTTGAGTCCTTAATCCAAAGGGTTCGTCTTTCCCCTGCTTTCCCTGGTTGCCCAGCTTTTCCGGCTCCTCTGCTCCTTGGTCTTCCCTCAAATGCAAATTACATTTAAGATGCGTACCGGCAAAGAGCAACTGCGATTGCTGTTTGAGCCACTCTGATTTCTCTTCTTCGTCCTGGACGATGGATATGGCTCAGGGATATTTTGAATTAATTTGTGTTGTCTTAGAAAGTCCATTAGAGTTGTGTGTGTGTGCCAACGTAAATATTTAGAAAACCCAAAATCGTATATTTTTCCATGTTCAAATGAAGCACTTTTGCACTTTATGATGCTTGCATATTTTTGGAGTCAACGAGGAAAAATTTATATTTATGTGCCATTGAATAAATTTGTCCAGGGTTAAGCTAAATTGAGAGTTTATTTATTTTAAGTGCATTCCACCTGTTTTACCTTTTTTTTAAAAGAATTTTTTACTAGTTTATAGTTTTATTTTGGTGTATGCTTTCATTTTGCTTTAATAAAATGATTACCTTTATACCCTTCATTTGATAAAACCATTTTTTTTCTATACGCCATAAAATGATTATCTGTGCCCTTAAATTGATTAGAGCAATTTTTTCTGAAAGCAAAACATTTGTACAGAGAATTTTATGCATGGTAAACTTCAAACTGATTTAATTTTAATAAAATGATTACTTATATAGCCCCTTAAATTGATTTTATCAAATTTTTTTAAAAAGAAAACTTTATTTACAGAGAATTTAATTTTTGGTGAGCTCAAAGTTTTTTCTTTTATAGAGTGTTAGGTGATTGTTATGTGATGTTATCGTTGTGCCACAAAATGAAGTCCTTCGGGGTTAAGTGTTTCTTTTAACGCTTGGCACTCCATGAT